GAAGCAGAAATGCCCAATGCCTTTGAGCCTGAATTCCTGGCTTAGTGGTGCTGCCCCTGGGCAGCTGCATCTGTGTGTTCAGACCCAAATTAGTAAGGACAGTAATGAACATGTCTGCCCCATGCTGGATACTTTCCACACGAGTCCTCACAGCTACCCCGTGGTGTAGCTCTTGTCCCATCTTACAGATGTGGTGACTGAGGCTTAGGCCCAAGCTCACACAGCTAGTCTGCTGACTCCAGTGCCTGCACTCTTCCCGTGACACTGCGCTGCACATTCAGTGTGGACGAAAGTCCTGAAGTGGAGTCAACCTAAGAAGTGAGAAATGCCCTAAGTCGGGAGAGTTGGAAGTTGGGTCAAGGCTGTTTGTGGGCATGCTCCCCAAGCAGCGTGGAGACTCCACAGAGAGTGCCACAGCCCCCAAAAGCTAGGGGACATCCAGCAAATGCAGTTCATCACACCCACAGCAGGACAGCACCCCTGACCGAGTGGTGGCAGAAGGGCAGCTTGTGGAGCCAAGAGCTGGTTGGTCATCTTTGGGCTTTGCTGCCGAGGTCCCCCTTGCCCACCCCAGAACATGTGGAGGAAGGGGCCTGCCCAGCTGTATCCCGAGGCCATGTGTGGCGGGGGTGGGGGTGGCCATCCTCTCTTCCTTGGAAATCGTGCATCTTCTCTCTCATCTCCACCCACGCTCCCTGCCCTGGAGGGGCTCCAGCTTTGGTCTGGCTGTGAGTGCAGGCCTGGGGAGGGCCTCTCGGGGACACTGCCTCTGCTGATGGCTTTCCTCTTGCTTCAGGTCATCCAGGAGGTGAGCGGCCTGCCTTCCGAAGGAGCACCCGAGGGAAACCAATACAGCCCGGATGCCCAGCGCCTTAACTGTCAGAAGGTAAGCCTCCACCCTGCCTGGAGGGAGAGCCCGATTCCACTTCTCCGTAAATATTAAAAGTGTAAAATTGGGAGCTTCATTTTTGTATTTCAGCCCAATTAATAAGAAACATACAGTGCTTGGCTAGGAGCAGTAACTTTGGCTTGGCAGGAAAACAGATGAAATTGATACAGACCTAAAATATTTTCTTGCTTGAGAGAGGAAGCTTTATTGCAGCAAAAATGACTTTGCCTTACATTCTTAAGCGGGGAGATTTATTTTATGAGGCTCTTCCTTCCCACCGATTCCCCACCAGAGCCCCCTGGGTGGGACAGTGTCTCAGTGTGTATCCCAACCACAGGGCTCAGTGCTCCTTTGCATGGAGGAAGCTTTGGGCTTAAGGGTCAAGGTTAAGGAAGTTGGGTTGCGTGCTGGCCAAGGGGAGGGCTGTCACCTGGGTGGGGGGAGTCATATTCCATAACCCTGAGTATCTGCAGATAGGTACCCTAAGCCCGAGCATGCACCAAACAGCCAGAGGGTTGCTGTGTCTCGCTTTGGGGTCCCCAACCCTGGCAGGGAGGAAAGCAAGAGGGGACATGGAGGGCTTGAGCAGGGAGGTGGCCATTTGCTCTCTGGAAGGGTACAGACCATCTCATGGAGAAACACCCACAGCCCTTCTGGAGGGACTTGAGAGGATTTTGTTGTTTGTTTCATTCTTTGGCCACTGACAAGAAAACAAAAGTCAGAGCAATTTGGGGTTTTCTTCTGATTGGAGTCTCCCTAAGGACTCGGTGTGCGGTGCTTCCCTGGACAGACACCTCGGCGTAAGGCTGGTCCTGCTGGTTAGGAGTCCCCAGCCTGTTTTCCAGAGGTCTGGACCATGTGGTTCTCTAGAAGCTTGGTTGTAATACTCTGAGTGCTCCACGATCCAGCAGCAACAGCAGCAGCTACACTTTTCTAGGAATTATCTGTAGTCCCCAACACCCCTGTGAATACAGGCTGGGATGTCACCCCAACTGGACACAGGTGCAGAGTGAGGCTCAGCGGCTCATTTCACTTGGCACTGGCCTGGCTGCAGGAGGCTTAAGCTGGGACTCGAATCGTGGTGTGTCCCCGTGCAGACATGCCAGCTCTCCTCGAAGCCCCCATGTTGCTGGTGCAGTCAGCTCTTAAAAGAGTTTCTCACGCTCCCAGTATGGGTGGTTCCTAGCTTGACAGTCAACATCACGGGGGACGTGGGCTCTAACACCATCTCTGGAGCTGTCGGCCTGGCCTTCCCACTGGGGCCACTGTCACATCAGGCTGGGCAGCCGTGTGGAGAATTTGTGAATGAGGATAGGGGCGGTGCTTGGGGAAGGGACAGGCGGTGCTCCAGGAGCCCCAGAGGGAAGCTTGGCCGGTGTCCTACCAGTGACCCGGATTCTGCTGTTTGAGTGGCCAGTGGGAGTTTGGTCAGGTGACCTCTGGCCTGCACTCAAGAGTCATCTATTATTTTCTCTTAAGTTATAGTCTCCAAGGTAACTGTTTCCAGCCAGTGATCCTCACCGATCTCTCTTTTGTCTACAGCCAGACATAGCTGAGAAGTACCTGTCAGCCTCAGACTATGGGAGCTCTATGGATGGCCACCCTGAGGTCCTGGAGACCAAAGATGGTAACAACGCTGTGGCTCTCAGCCTCTCGGTCGCTCTTTTGTCTACAGCCAGACATAGCTGAGAAGTACCTGTCAGCCTCAGACTATGGGAGCTCCATGGATGGCCACCCTGAGGTCCTGGAGACCAAAGATGGTAACAACGCTGTGGCTCTCAGCCTCTTGGTCAGGAGGGGATGGCATTCCAGGGCGTGAGACTTGGCTGTCTGGCTCAACCCTAATGGGTTTAGCAGCTGATTCTAACCCGGCCTCCAGTGTATACACTAGTGGGAAATACTACATCTGATAGATCCAGGAAAAAGGGAGAGATGGCCAAACTGAAGTTAAATTTCACGAAATGCTGGGGTAGGATATTCTTCCACCTCTTCTTATTTGCTAACCCTATTTCAAATCTCTTGGAGCCAATACAGTCTGTAAAGATTCTCATGGGGGCCTATGGGTGGGCTGTGTGCAACGATGATTGCTTTCTCGCTCATCTTGACAGTTAAGAAGAAATGTACTGCTGGCCTCAAACTGAGTAACCTAATGAACCTGGGCAGAAAGAAATCCACCTCGCTGGAGCCTCCGGAGAGATCCCTGGAGACATCTAGTAAGAATCGTAACCACCTCTGGGACCAAAGGGTTCGTTCACTGGGCTGGGCCCCCTCCCAGGAAGGCGAGCCAGACATCCAAGGCAGAGATGTCAGGTGTTGCCGTCAGCACCGCGAGGGACGGGAGCCCGCAGCCCTCGGGTACTGTCTCTGAGGCAGGTGGTTCTTCATGCCCAACCAGATGCCCTCTCACTGCAATGTTGGGTCCTTCATGGAAGTGAAGGGTAGCTGACTGATGTCCCCTTAATGTTCTTTAAAAAATGATGTCATTTGACGGCGGGACCATGGAAGGCACAGTCCTGAGAGCTTCCAGCCTGAGAAAGATGATGGCTTCATACCCATAACTACGCACGGTGCTGTCTTTGTAGCCCTAAGCACTCAGGGACAGAAAGAACCTTTCCTGCTTTGTGGTCAGAGACGACTTTGTGGGCCTGAGCCTTGACCGGTGGCTGGGTCCTGAGGAGGTGGGACTGGTGCCTGTGGGTGGGAGCAAGGACCCTGAGATGGGACCAGGCGAAGCCTATGAAGGGGATCGTGAGAAGCCCGTGTTGCTGTACAGGGGGCGTCTGGGTGCNGCGAAGCCTATGAAGGGGATCGTGAGAAGCCCGTGTTGCTGTACAGGGGGCGTCTGGGTGCCGGTAGGCTCCTGGAGGCCATCTCTCCTGCCCTCACTCAGTCTTGAGGCAGCTGAGGCCAGCAGAGGAGACTGGCCTTTCCTGGAAAATATCGTGGGGTGAGCCAGTATCCTGATCCCCAAGCGGGGGCTCATTGCTATGGCCTCCTCAGGACCTGAAGGCCATACTGTCCACTTTGGGGCCTTTTCCTCTTCCTCGTGCAACCCTTGTCCCATCCGTGGGCTCTTTTCCTGAGTCTCAGTTAAGTTCTCTTGTGTTCAAGGCTGGCAGGGAAGGTGACAGCGTCTCCTGCTTCTCCAGCCAGGGCACCAGGCAGTGAACCAGCTGTGCTGGCCCTGCAGCCTCAGGGGGCAAGGGAGCCTGGTCCCAGTGAGTCACCCTTTGGGAGATGTGGCTGGCTCTTTGCTGGACGTCCACTCAGCAGCCAAGCACGCTCCTGTCCCCTGTGGCTGGGTCGGGCAAGGGAGAGCAGCTGCTCACCTTACCTGGACTCGGGTGCGTGGGATCTGAGCTCCCGCCTCTCTTGACCCAAAGTGCTCTTTGGTCTAGAGGATTGGGATGGGCACAAGGATGGGCCCAAGTTCCTAGGTCCTGGCCTCCATCTCTTCCACTTTGCCACCGTGACGTAATGTTAATGTGGCTCCGAGATACTCAGGATGCCCACTGTGTTTCCAGTGCTGGGCTGGGCCGGCAGGTGACCAAGCACTTTCACCTGCCACCTAGTTCATCTGGCTAAGATTCAGAGCCGGTGCCAGTCCCCTGTGATGGGAAACATACCTACTTTGTACGCCAGCGCCTCTGGGAAGACTAGGGACACAGAGAGATGTCAACCCACCACACACGGGGTGTGTGGAGGGTCCTGAAGGCTGGGTTGTTCTCATCTTTGTAGTCGCAGGGACAGCACTGTACTTGGGGCACGGTGTCAGCTCAGGAAATGTTGACCTAATGGGGTTAAGGCCTGTTTGCTCCTTGGGAAGCTGAAGCCCACACATGCAACCATTTGAGAATGATGAAGGATTGCATGGCAGGTGCACCCCACTGCTGGCAGCCTCTGCGTGCTGTAGAGAGGGGTTCCTGTGTGGTGGACATGCCACAGGACACAGACCCTGGGCACAGGAGAGGAACGTGGCACAGCTCTTGCCATTGAGAAGCGCACTGTGTCCAGTCGGGGAGGTCGACACGGAAGCAGAGAGTTTCACTGTACTGTGATCCAGGTGTTCTTATGAAGGCAGAGCAAGGAGTCGGGACCCAGGGAGGGCACCGAGGCAGCGCATCTGGGAGGACGAGGAGGAGTTGGGCACTTCTGGCGGGTATGAAAGGCCCCGGGATGGAGAGGCTGTCAGGGGAGCTGAGCAAACGAAAGCTGGAGAGGCAAGAGGATTGAACCCGCAGCCAGGAGACAAAGGCTGGGAGCCTCCCGCCACAGGGGCCTGAGAGGCTGGTGGGAGGACGGCTGCTGCGGGCTGGGGGCGTAGAGCCATGAAGGGGAGGCCCCAGGGTGGGGGGAGTCTGTATCCCACACATGTACCACTGGGCCTGGTCCATCAAGGACTCAACTTCCATTTGCACAAAGCTTTGCCTAAAACCAGTTCAGCTGTGCTGCCCACCTTCAAAGGGTCTAGCTGCTCACACAAGGAAGGAGGTATGCTGTGGGCTTCCACAGGCTCCATGAGATAAGAAAGGCACGCAGTTTCCAAATCTGAGATTCGAGGGGACCCTCAGGAGGCCCAGAGGCGGTGCCAGCCCTGGACGCCCTTAGCTGCCCCTGCCCTCCTGCAGGTGCACCGGCTCCTACAGGTGCATCCCCTCCTGTGGCCTCCTTTCCCCCCACAGCCAAGGCCCCTGCATCTGCATCTCCCCCCTGCAGGTTACCTGAACGTGCTGGTGAACAGCCAGTGGAAGTCTCGCTGGTGCTCTGTCAGGGACAACCACCTGCACTTCTACCAGGACCGGAACCGGAGCAAGGTGGCTCAGCAGCCCCTCAGCCTGGTGGGCTGTGAGGTGGTGCCTGACCCGAGCCCTGATCACCTCTACTCCTTCCGCATCCTCCACAATGGCGAGGAGCTGGCCAAGCTCGAGGTACTGCGGGCCTGTGGGGCCAGCCGGGGCGTGGCAGGTGCGGCTGCCTGCTGCCAGTCTCAAGGGCTGTCATCCTACCAAGGGAGGATCTCTGTAGTCGCGTGGTATTTTCGCTTCCTTTGCCTGAGATTGTTTGCATTTTTTAAAATTTCCATTCCTTTTTTGACCTCAGGGTGGTTTGTATTATAGGGGTGGGACAATGAGCTACTTCCTGCACTTAGGGCAGACGGAGTATTTATAACTCCCTGAACTGCTGGAAAACCTGCTGGGGATTCTGTTTAGTGGGTGCTATTTAGTTTGCATGTGTCACCAGCTGGGAGAGCCTCTAGGCCCAGTACATAAAAGTGACCACCGTTCAAGTTTATCTAGTGGGAAGAATTAGCTTTGTGATACAATTACATTTCTCCCAGTCTCCACCCGCTATTTGATGTGATGTTATATTTGCAAAAATAAGAGGTGACATAATGCCTTGTAACAA